GTGAGTTCGACCAGTCCTGTGTGGCACTGGGCTTTTTCGAATTATATGATTTTACTGAGTAACACACGAACGCGAAAAAAATATTCGATAACAATTTTATTAATCGACGGAAGTAAATAAAAGGAATTGAACTAATGAACTCTATAATAATGTAAATGTCAATGAACAAACTGGAATACAGGAATTAGAACTCTTCTTGTTGGGTCTTCAACTTGGGATATGTTTCTTGCCGTTTAATCGTAAAACCTCGACGTGTGTATCCGATAGTGATGTCGATACAACTCCAAGAAATAAATAAAAAAATGAATCACAAAAATCGGAGCCTATGGAAATTGCAAGCTGCGTGTGAAACTATACCAATGAGTATAGAATCCAGCAAAGAACCCTAGGTCCACAAATAGCACAAGAAACAAAACAACGAGGCGGATTCGTTTTCACAGAACCCAAGGCCTGTTTTCACTGGGCCTGTCTGTCAGTCGGTCGGCTTTCGCACAACCCTGGCCTGTTTTCACTGGGCCGTCAAGTCTGATCGGCTTTCGCACGACCAAGGGCCTGTTTTCACTGGGCCTGTCAGTCAGTCGGTCGGCTTTCGCACAACCCTGGCCTGTTTTCACTGGGCCGTCGAGTCTGATCGGCTTTCGCACGACCAAGGGCCTGTTTTCACTGGGCCTGTCAGTCAGTCGGTCGGCTTTCGCACAACCCTGGCCCGTTTTCACTGGGCCGTCGAGTCTGATCGGCTTTCGCACGACCAACACAAGACAACAAGAGTCAGAACAACACTGGAAACAAATTGTGTGACTCTAGTACGCGTGCGAAACTATGCCAATGAGCATAGAGTCTCGTACCAAATCCACTTTCTAAGACGTTTCTGAAACTATGCCAATGAGCATAGAATCACGCATTAAGTCTCTTAGATACCAGAATAGGCACTGATTACTCGAAGCTGCCTAACTGGTGAACCCAAGGCTGACTCTTTGAGAACTTAAGACGTTTCTGAAACTATGCCAATGAGCATAGAATCACGCGTTAAGTCTCTTAGGGACCAGAAGAGGCACTGATTATTCGAAGCTGCCTCACTAGTCAACCCAGTTTTTTAAGTCTTTTCACACCCTTCCTTATCAAGGCAAAATTAGATTTTGTTTCGGGTGTTTTAAAATATAAAAATTTACAAGGCATGTCCAATTAATCAGAAAAAGTATTAATTAAATTTTAAAATAATTTGTAATAATTTATGACGTCATCTAAATTGCAAAACAAAGAAAATCGTCATCACCTATCGAGTAAATTAACTTGCACCATGCCCCCTATCGAGTGAATAAATTTCGCGTTGAAAATTTTGCGGTATTTTTAGTCAGTATTATTTCATAATTCTGACACTATATATATATATATATATATATATATATATATATATATATATATATATATATATATAGGGGTATTATTTAGTTGGATATTTATTGCTGGTTTATGTAATGAATTGCTTTGGTGTTAGAACAGACTGCAAATCATCACGGAGGCATGAGTTGACACCAAACATAATCGCATTGCAGTAGTCAATTTTTCCACAGATAAAACTACAAACGAGTGCTTTTGTTGAATCAACTGTCAAAAAACGTCTAATGGATCTTATTCTGTGGAGTTGGTATAAACATTGCTGGCAGAGTTGGCTAATATGCTTTTCAAATGAAAGACGAAGATCCAGCATGACTCCAAGATTTGTTACTGGATTTTTGTAGTCATTTAAACGGCTTAGGCCATGCGGCGTTCCCATCCACAAATATTGAGTTTTTTTGACGTTGAGTTTAAGCATGTTAGATGACATCCAGCGACCAACCTAGTCCACTGCATTCGACACAGCATAGGAGACTTAAAGTGATGAGTCAGAGAGTTCAAATCCGTAAAATTGAATATCATCAATGTAAAGGTGACAGCTAAGGCCGGCTGCTTCGACGACGTTGACGATATCTGAAGTGTACATGATGTATAGCAAAGGACCAAGTAGTGAACCTTTTGGTACACCGCGGATCAATTTTGAAGAAGCCGTGCCCAGAACACTCCCATCAACGCTGACTACTCGAGACCTGTCCGTTAGGTAGGACTGGAAGCACCTGAGAACATCTCCACAAATACCAAATGAAGTATAAAGACGTTTCAATAAAATCTGGTTGTCGACTTTGTCAAAAACAGCACTTACATCAAAAAGTGCCAGCATTGATATGTTACCAGCATCAATAGCGTTACAGACATCTGAAAACACCTTCAAAATCGTTGTCTCAATTGAATGTGCTCGACGAAAACCTGATTGAATTTTTGGAAGTAGTGAGTTTTTGTTCTGGTAAGCGAGGAGCTGGCGAGCGACAATTCTTTCAATTGTTGTAGATACGAAGGTAAGGTTTGAAATGAATCTGTAATTGATAACAACGTTGTTCGCTAAACCAGGTCTCTTCAACAACGGATTAACTACTGCAATCTTCCGGGACTTGGGTTACTTAGATGTTTGCAAACATTTATTGACCAGGTTAGATAAAAATGGCAGAAGCGTATCAACAAATTCCACCAGGTGAAATGTTGGAATAGGGTCGAGGTTGTTTGATGTATAAAAGGAAACGCTCAGACGTATTGTTCATGAACATGCATAAGGAAACGCTCAGACGTATTGTTGATGAACATGCCCCGTAATACTCTCAAACTGTTGAAAACGGCTATCGGTCGACCTGAATTCTGGCGGATCAACCATTTCATCAGCTGACAGTTGGGACTTTGATGTTAGATGAGTTAAAAACTCTTGAGCTGTGATTTGTGAAGCAGTCGTGCATACATCATTTTTTTGGCAAGTAATGACGTAAAAATCTTCCATAATTGTTTTGGTTTATCAGACCTTGAAATTATCAGCGATTGGTAATATATTGATGTTTGGACACAAACAGTTTGTGTTTTTCTGCAATGGCTGTTTTCCAACGAAAAAGGTCTGATTTGTTTTTTGTACGTCGATAAACCTTTTCTAACCTACTAGTTGATCGTTTTATTTCATAGCAATCAATGTCAAACCAACCGCATGATTTTGAACGAACTTGTTTGTTGACTAACCGGGGCATGTTCATCAACAATACATCTGAGCGCTTCCTTATATACATCAAACAGTCTGTTTACATTGAAAGCCGAGTATGCTCCACAGACTCTTTCAATAAGTGAATTTCTAAATTTAACTCGATCTATCTTTTTGTAGCTCCAAACACGTCTGCAGGTTGAAAGAGATGGAGAAGCTGAGGTAGCAGCCATCGAGCATGAAACGACGGGCGGGTCAACCTGAACATTGAATACTTCATACTCCGATCTGGTGATGATGACGTCCAGTTGACCTCTCATCCGATGAGAAGGAGAGTCTATGTGTTGAGTGCAACCAAATGACGATAACAACAGTTTGAATGATGACGCATGAGCGTTGCTGGGATTTTCTAAATGAATGTTTAAATCACCAAAAATAGCAATTTGTCCGTTAAACTGTGTAAGGAGTTCGAAAAGTTGACGAAACTTTTTGAAAAAACTGCTAGTCAATGTAGACGATCCTGGTCTGTATATTGCTAACGGAGTGTACAACATGTTAAAGCTTCGTAACTATATTTCCTAGGCGCAGTACTTTACATTATCATAATTTATTCAAATTTATAAAGTAAATTATTTGAATTGGTTAAATAAATCTGTTTAACTATTAAAACTAAAAACACACACACACACACACACACACACACACACACACACACACACATATATATATATATATATATATATATATATATATATATATATATATATATATATATATATATTGGATTAAAACTATCAGACTGCAATTATTGATGAAAATTACAGCAGTTAGCCACGAATATGTCGAATATGTACAGCCGAGGCGCCCTTCATTGACCGGGTAACACATCATATTAGCAAATAGACGGCGTAGCAATGGGCTCTCCATCGGGAGTAATCATCGCAAATTTCTATGTTCGACATATCGAAGAAATGTTATTTAAAGAAAAACCAGAGTTAAAGCCTAATATATACTGCCGATATTCGTTAGATACGATGAAAATGATTAAATAGAAAAACTTCTACAACGACTAAATTCATCAAAATTAAAATTTACAATTCAAAAAACAAATGACAATAAACTACCATTTCCAGATGTACAAATACAAAATACTCATAATGAATTTAAAACCTCAGTATACACCAATGCAACAAACAAAAGTTTATGCTTTAATAGAAATAGTGAATGTTGTCAAACATATCTAGAGAGCCCATTCTCTGCTTTTGTAAACAGAGTTTAAACGTACTTCTCTGATGCAGGAAGCAGGAGAACAAAACTAAATTAATCACTAATAACCTCCTCGGTCACCATCAAGAATTTAACGTAACTTAATTATTTTTTCGATCAATATGGCAGACATTTGATCTAGTTAGTACCTCTGTGAAGTTTGAACATGATCAGAAAACCGCGACTACCGCTTCCGGCAGGTCCACACGCGTGGTCTATGGTACTTGAAATTTCAGTTAGCGTTAACACAATACAAACAAAATGACTTCAAGAACACATTATTTATTTTCACAATCTATTATCACAATTATTAATATGTAGAAATGTCTTTATTCAATTATCTTTGTAAAATTTTATAAAAAAATCTAACAACACACAAATTAACATCACACTTCACACACATCACCCAGGCTTTTCCATCACACTCTTTGTTCCAACATCTCATTGCATTTTTCATGTTCATCATTTTTGGGAAATGACCAAATCCTCTTGTGTTGTGGGGTAGTGGAGTAGTTTTCTCATTTTGGTAAAAAGGTTGATCATCATCATCATCAATTTCAGTGTAAACCTTCGATATCATTTTATGTGCAACTTCAATGCAAAACTGCCAAAACTCTAGTGTCTCCCGTCAGTAATCAGTATCTCCGATACAGCAGCCAGGAGTTTGCCAGTGTCGAATCTAAAATATGAAACAAGATACATCAATCAATCAATCTTCATTTCATTTAAATTTAGAGCTTTCATGTCTTGCTCGATTGTTTAAGACCAGGACTTCTTTAGGCGGCCTTTGGGACGTGTGCCAGATACCCGTGTGCCAGGTACTTCAACATCTGCCAGAGAAGTTATGGCACTGTTTCCACTTCGTTTGACATGACCAAACCACCGCAGACGGTGTTGCCGACATTCGTCCTTTATATCATCTAAACAAGAACGAACGACGCAAGATTTTGGTAGATTTGATGTGTTCTTTCAGACAAATTCGTTGTATCCATCGGAGCATTTTTATGTCGGTTCGTTAAAGTTGTTGTTCCAGTTTGGTTGTCATTGGCCATGTTTCTGCACCATATAACAACAGCGGATGTATCACAGATTTATAAAGTTTTGATCGTAGTGGTAGTGGGATGTCACGCCGCATCAATATAAAGGCAAGGAGATGCCATTTATTCTAGGCTACACGTATATCCGTGCTCGAACGGCAGCTTCAGCTGTTTCAGTACATTCCAGCAATCCAGAGCATTCCCTAGATATTGACACCATGTGACTTTCTCTACCTTAATGGCTTCAAAAACATTGATATTTTGTATTTGTCGTTGTGGATTTATGCAGCAATTTCGTCATCATATAGTATTTACTGTGATAGAAATGCAAATTGAATGAACCATTTAGGACTAATCTTCTTTCGTTGTACACATTCTTTTTATTTCAATGCTGGCCAGTTCATGACTTCCTTTAATAAAAAAATTAAAGTGATAAAACAGAGGATTGACACTGAAAATTAGTCTTGTCTAAACAGTGGTGATCATGGATGTCAGCAGTTGTTTTTGACTTTTCGGGTAGTGTCTGAGGCTGATGTCAGAAAAGAAGTGCTTCATTCACCTACAAAGTCCTGTCAACTAGATATTTTACCAACGCGTTTCTTTAAAAACATTTTGAATTGTTCTGTCCATTTATAACCAGTTTGATACATCTGTGCATGAGGGTAGGTTGCTTCTCCCTGCCTTGTAAACATGCAATTATTGTGCCGTTGTTGAAAAAAGTGATGCAGATTTAAGTGACGTCAATAATTATCGACCAGTCAGTAATCTGTCATTTATATCAAAACTCATTGAAAGAATGGTGTCGAGACAATTGCTTGCTCATTTGAATGATAATAATCTCATGCCTGCACATCAATCCGGTTTCAGACGATTTCACTCCACTGAAACTGCCCTGCTACATGTTCTCTTGGGGGTTTATTCTGAGATGGATGCTCAAAACATTTCCTTGTTGGCATTTTTGGACATGAGCTCGGCTTTCGACTGTGTCAATCATGAAGTGTTACTGCTCAGGCTGCATCAAAGTTTTGGATTATCTGGGGAGATAATAAATTGGCTCAGAAGCTACTTGATTTGCCGAATACAGCAGGTTTCGTTCAACGGGAGTTTGTCCTACGTCAGTGTGGTTCGCTCTGGTGTGCCGCAAGGATCTGTTTTGGGTTTTTTATTGTTTCTGCTTTATACATCTGATGTACTGAAGATAATTGATTCTTATGATTTTAAAAGCCATGCATATGCAGACGACATTCAAATTATGTTATCAAGTAAACCAAAGTTATTTCAAGACGAGATTACAAGATTCATTGAATGTATGTCAGAGGTTAATTTGTGGATGTCGAGAAATGAATTGAAGCTTAACCACGGTAAAACAAAATTTCTTCCTATTGGTACCTGGCAGCAATTGACAGACTTGGATATAAATTCAGTTGTTATGAATGATAAAAAAATAGATTTCTGTAATGCAGTGTCGAATCTAGGTTTTATAATTGATTCAAACCTAACAATGAAATCTCATTTTAAAATGATCTCTATATCATGCTTGGCACATATTAGAAGAATGAAACAAATTCGAGAATCACTTGATAAAAACGCAACGTAGACTCTGGTGCATGCGTTGGTGCACTCACGTGTCGATTATTGCAAAAGTTTATTTTACGGACTCCCGGCAAGATCCATAAAATTCTGCAATCGATACAAAACCGTACTGCCTGGATTGTGGCTGGATGTCGATGGTATGATCATGCCACACCGATCCTGAGTGATTTGCATTGGTTGCCCATAAATAAAAGAATTGTTTTTAAAATCTCTGTCACAGTTTTTAAATCACTAAATGGTCTGGATCCAAAATATTATTTATTTATTTCATAGTTCAGAAGTATAGAGTATAAATAGAAGAGGGCCAAGGATAGAACCTTAAGGTTCCCCGAAAGTAAGAGTAGAGGAGTTAGAAGTAGAATTATTAAGAACAACAGAAGAAAAACGATTACAGAGATAAGAAGAAAACCAAGATAGACAAGAATCAGTAATATTAAAAGAAAGATGTAGCAGTCTCAGCAGAGGAAAAGTCAAAAGCAAGAAGAAGAGTAAGATTACTATTTTCACTAGAGAGAAGGATATCATTGTGTATTTTTAGTAAAAAAGTTTACTGTACTGTGAGCAGGTCTGAAACCAGATTGAGATACAGGTAGCAAGGAGTTAAAGTTTAAATAGGATGAAAGTTGATTAAAAACTACTTTTTCTATTATTTTAGAGATGAAAGTAATATTATTAACAGGTCTATAATTAGATAAAGAGGTAGGATCTAAGGATGAGTTTTTAAGAATAGGAATAACAATAGAATTCTTTTAAGAAGTAGGAAATTCGGAGGTGAAAAGAGATAAATTAACTAATTTGAGAATGATTGGATAAAATATTGAAAAAAATTCTTTAAGTAAATTAGAAGGAAGTAGATCTAGAGAACAGGTTGTAGACGACATAGAATTAATAATTTTAGTTAGTTCTAGAAGATTTATTGGAGTAAATACAGAAAAAGATTCAGTAGTAATTTCAGTAAAGGTATGAGAAGAAAAATTAGAATTAGATATTTTTAAAGAAGTAATTTTATTTACAAAAAAGTCATGAAACTGTTGAGCAGAAAAAGATGAGTGAGAGGATTTCTGATGAAGATGTTTAGATAGAGCAGACCACCTATTTTTAGATGTTGAGGCAGATGTTATAGAATTTCTAAGAAAAGTAGAGGGTTTAGAGAATAGTAGATATTTATAATTAATCAATTCAGATTCATAGATAGAATAAAGAGAGTTAAATTGATTTAACCTATAGGCTTTCTCCAGTCTTCTAACACTTTTCTTGTCTACTACACTAATCAAACTAAGGAGCCATACAAGAATAGAGCCGATAAGTAAAAGATTTAAGAGGAATAAGCTTATCAATAATAGAAGTAATGTAGATATTAAAAGCATAGACAAAATCAACATCAGAAAATAAGGTAGTATCAAAAATAGTTTCAGTAAGAGATTGATATATATATGTTTGTAATAGACCATTATTTTTACAATATTCTATAAATTCTACCGAATGTTTGGCGTTAATATGTTTGTAGTTCGTTTTATCGATTTTTCTCACTAAAGTTTTTTAGAGAACGTTTAGTTCATTAAAATTCATAATAAACTTATTTTCCGAATTCATGCTGCAAATATGAACCATGATGGACCAGCCAATAAAGAAATCTGACACCCAATTTCCATCAAGGTTCACTTCCCTATATAAATCAACTTGCACTGATGATGATTCACTCGGAATCGAAATATGGCCTTATTTGCAGCATGAATTCGGTAAATAAGTTTATTTTGAATTTTAATAAACTAAACATTCTCTAAAAAACTTTAGTGAGAAAAATCGAAAAAACGAACTACAAACATATTAACGCCAAACATTCGGTAGAATTTATAGAATATTGTAAATATATATATATATATATATATATATATATATATAGTTGTTCCAAAAATCCACCGACGATTCAGCATTAACAAGTTTTATGGTTGATTTTCTAATATTTTGAACTAGTTCTTTACAATTAAGTCTATTCAAAATGTTGAAATCCATTTTATAATCGTTCATGATTTTAATTGTTAAAATTAATCAAGCAAGATCCCATTTTTATAATCGTTTATTTTTTATATTATTATTAAAACTATGCATATAGATCTATTTCGACGTAAAGTCATCATCAGTGCAATATATTTTAAGTAAATTCTATTAATAGTTAATTAGTTGTATTTTTTAATATATTAAAATAAAATAAAAGTAACGAAATAAAAACGCAAAGGTTCATTGAAATTAGTAAACAAAATATTTGAAATTATACGATTGTTCATGCTACGTGGCCGTTGTCAAGATGGCAACCAACAATGTCACAAATTTGAAGCGCGAAATTAATTAGAATATCGTTTCTATTATTATTATTATTAATAATATTAATTATTATTATTATTATTTTTATTATTATCATTATTATTATTATTATTATTATTGTTATTATCATTATCGTTATTATTATTATTATTATTATCGTCATCATCATCATCATTACCATTATTATTATTGTTGTTGTAGTTGTTGTTCTTTTTATTGTTGCTGTTGTTGTTGCTATCGTTGTTTGTATTGTTGTTGTCGTCGTCATCATTGTTATTAAAAGTATTATTATTATTATTATTATTATTATTATTATTATTATTATTATTATTATCGATGACGTTAAAATTATTGGCAACAATGTTGACGTTGTTAATTAATCTATGCGTAGGGAGAGTTGTTTTAATTTGTTGTTGGTTGTTCAATGTAGGTTTTTGCATTTCTATTAGAATGGCTTCAGCGAGTTTAAGATTTTGATATTGTTGGGTACTATAGATGATGGTTGTGTTGTCATTTAGTATACCTCTGGTGATTGTGTTTGTCAAGGAGATGGGTTTTAATGGCACCTTCTCTCTTATGCATCGTCAATCTCCGTGATAAATCCGTGGTAGTCATGCCGATATATGATGATTTTAGACGCATACAATCGTCAACTGGACAGGAAAATTTATATATGACATGACTACGTTTCAGTTGTGATTCAACACGTGGTGTGCAATTATTTATTAAGATGAGGTTTGATGTTTTAGTGTTTTTATAAAAAATCCTTAGTTTGATTTTATCATTAGGATCTGTAGGAATTATATTATTTTTTATTATATTCTTCATTATCAATTCATCGATTTTATAAGAGGAAGACATGAAATTACGGCAGTACAGTATAATATCCTTCTTTTTGTTGTTATTATTGTCATTATTAGTGTTGTTGTTATGGGTGTCGACATTGTTATTTTCGTTGCTATTATTTTCAGGGTTATTACAGATGCCGTTGATGTTGTTGTTTCTATCATTGTTGTTATTGTTGTTGTTATTGAATTTATTGTTAACCTGAATAATGACTTTTTCAATCTGACTTAGGTTGTAGTTATTGTTAACAAGTAATTTAGTGACACTTATATATATATATATATATATATATATATATATATATATATATATATATATATATATATATATATATATATATATTATGTTTACCAACAATTTTCTTTTCCAATTTTTTTTGTACAATTTTTTGTCGTTTGCTTATCTTCTCTAACATTAATTGTATCAGATAGCTCTTTATCTATCAATACACATTTATTCGTTTACATTCAACCGAAATCTTTAATTTAACTAATTAATTGATTTCGCATTGCATTTGTTACAGATTCTTTCCTGAGAGCCAAACAACGGATCAAATTAACCAGGGAAAATCTCAAATTGACTGATATGACTTATGAATAAATCATATTAATTAAATGTCCCTTATTAACATCGCAAGCGATTTTTTATTTTTTTATTCAAGAAAATTAAATTAAAAACAAAATTAGAACTTAAATTGTATTGCAATGCTTTTTTAACTTTATTACGTTACATTTATATTGTTTATTTTCAGTTTTTATTTTCTTTTTTATTAATTATATGGATGGTAACAATGACAAAAATTTTATACCTTAGAGGAAGATCGAATGTGCAGAGTATAAGAAGGATAAATATAAAATTTACATGTATGTCTTGTAACTTTAGAAATTATTTTAGTCGACTTATGTAAAAAAAAGAGTTGAAATACGGACATGGGCGGCGAGTTGTTCAAATTATTGTGGGGGCTACCGAAATTTTTATTTTTATTAATTTTTGTCAAACTGTAATTTAAACTTCTTTTCAATTTTTTAATCAATTTAAAAGTCAAAAGTTTAAACAATATAATGTAAATAGTAAAATTCTATTTTTGAATATCCCGAACGTTAAAAAATCTAGTTTATATACAGGACTTCTTTCGACGGCCTTTGGAACGTGTGCCAGGTACTTCAACATCTGCAAGAGAAGTTATGGCACTGTTTCCACTTCGTTTGACATGACCAAACCACCGCAGACAGTGTTGCCGGCATTCGTCTTTTATATCATCTAAACCAGCACGACGCAGGATTTCGCTAGATTTGATGTGGTCCTTCAGACTAATTCGCTGCATCCATCGGAGCATTTTCATATCGGTTCGGTGAAGTTGTTGTTCCAATTTGATTGTCATTGGCCATGTTTCTGCACCATATAACAACACCGGACGTATCACAGATTTTTTTCTGCACCATATAACAACACCGGACGTATCACATTTTTATAAAAATAAATTGCCAATCCTGCCATCGGAGCTCCTATAACTAAATCTTTCCAACGCTTAAGTCTGTCCTACCACGAGCCTCCACCAAGCACCAAACCACCCAAATTATCTTGGTTATCTTTTTTTATTATTATTCTTCAAAAATCAGGATCTGCCAGACGCAGAAACTGTACAGCATGCAAGGCAGTAGTACAAAATTAAACAAATAAGTAAATAAATAAATCAAAAACGGAAGAAAAAAAATGTTTTAACATGAAAAATAAAATAAAATAGAATAAAATAATAAAAATAAATAAAATGAAATGAGGATAAAATAAGGTAATGGCTTAAAAACGCAAATTAATAGGCTTAGGCTGAGGTGATCGATAAATAAAAATACTAGTTATGTGAATGATAAAGTTTTATTTAATAAAAACTAGTTGTGTGAATGATAAAGTTTTATTGAGTGTTAATATGTTTGAGGTGTTTTGTGATGAAAGTCTTTTCCTGATATGTAGATTGGGTGGCTACTTGATAGTTATGTTTGCGCTGACGAAAGTTGTGTGTTGTAGTTTTAATTGGTGGTAGTAGAGGATGGATGACGTGGTTGTTGTTATTTTCTACTTTCTTGAACAGTCTTGAATCGAGTGTGTTGAATATCTGAGTGACGGTAGGATATGATGCAGATAGATAATTGAAGCGGATTAGTTTTTTGATGAGAGAGTGTAGTTGCTGATGTTGTTGTTGTGTAGCAAGACCAGACCAGGAGGGAGCTGCATATTTGATTCGTAAGATTATGAGTGATTCAGTGATGTCGAATAATTTGATGCCTCTGAGATCATGGGAGGAGAGTGTTTTGAGTGCGTGAAATGTTTGAAAGCTTTTTGTGATGAAGAGATTGATATGAGGTGCTATATGAAGTTTTGAGGTAAATGTGATGCCTAATATTCTTAAATGACTTGTGCGAGTGATTGATGGGTGTTCTGGAGGTAATGTTATTTTTTACGGCTATTGTGAATGATGAATTCGAATGATTTAAGATTAAGTGACAGATTGCATCATTTTGACCATATGGTTAATGAGTCGAGTTCTGATTGGATGGTGTTTGAGTTAGATGATGGGATGATAAGGTAGGTGTCGGCAGCGTATTTGATGATGTGATTAGCGCTATGAAAAGTTTTGAAAGTAGAAGCATTGATAATAAAGGTAGATGGTCCAAGGAAAGAACCTTGTAATATAATATTGTAAATGATGTCAGGTAGAGGAAGAAAGGCTAACTTATTTGAAAGTGAGAAGTGATTGAGAGTGTCAAAAGCTTTAGAAAAGTCGAGAGCAATAAGATGAAAAAAATTATTATTATTAATGAAAGGTGTTATTGAGGAAGTAAGAGAAATGATGGCAGATGTAGATGAACCTGTAGGGCAAAATGCAAACTAATCTTGTAATAGTGGTTTGATTGATGGATGGTTGAAACATAAATAGATGAATGACCTAACGATGAATTTTTCTAAAATACGTGAAAGTATGGGGGTGATAGATATTGGGCGATAATCTATTGGTGATGATGGGTATTTTGTTTTAGGAATTGGATGAATTGTGCTGGATTTCCATTGTGATGGGATGAATGAATGCATTAAGCAGTGATTACAGAGTGAACATAAGGTGCTGGAGATGAATGGAGCGATGATTTGTAGAAAACATGCTGGTAGACTGTCTGGACCTGTACCGGGTGGACAGGCTTTCGTTAGCATGTGCAGGACGGAATATTGGGTAAATTGTTGATGTTGACGACTATTGATTGTTGTTGCTTTTGTTGTTGTTGATGTAGGATTGGTCGGTTGACATAGAAGCAAAGTGGGTGTTGAGTGTGTTGGCATCAATTTGCTGTGAGGTTGACGTGTTGAATGATTTTAATGAAATTGGGATGATTAGGTGCTAGGTAGATGGGCAATGCATAAAATACTCTGTTCATGCAATTCCACAATGTGTAATTTATTGTTTCTTATAATCCTTGTAATGTGAAGAGAAGTTATCTATTAAAATATTAACAATTGGTATTAAAAAATCTAACCATCTCTACATACGGTTTCCCTGCATAAAATTATTTATTCTCTTGATCCCACATAACATGTTAAATAAAATAACATAAATATTGAGTTAGTTGAAATAAACATATTGTGCGGATGGATCACGATAAAACTCAACATCGCCTATCGCGCGTCTTCTTGGAATCGCGGGAAATCTATTGATAAATAGACGTCCTTTGCCGAAGAAAACGATTGTACAGGTTATACAATTTTTTAATATACAATTCGGTCATTAATTTAGGGCCGTTATTGTAGTGTCTGATTTTTCAGGTCGTCCAGTTTGGGGATATAGTGCTACATTTCCATTAATGCATTTTTTGCACCAACGACATTGTAGTTAATGTTCGAATATATCCCGCATCTGTGACACGTAACGACAATTTTATTTTAAAATGTTTGGATCAAAATCATATACACACATTGTTATTGATTCATTTCAATCAACTCAAAAACTGCAAATTAATTTAAACTTTTTTTAAATATCATATAAATAAAACGCATGTACCATAGACGTCTTAAATGAAGAACTGACGACGTTCAATCTCGGGTCCGAGAACTTGGGTTCATCAGTATTTTCAGTACTTTTTGCTTTAACTTTGTCAAAAGTGGTTCATTTGTTATCAAATTTTAAGCAAAGTTTACCACAAACAACATGAAAAAATTTTGTACATTTTATTTCTGTTTCTTTGTCTTTAACTGAACAATAGCAACAACATAAAAAACAATAATAAAAAGAATAATGTTGTAAAAATATATAAAAAAAACGACAAATAAATGATTACAACATTTCAGATAATTAATGTGCTCGTTAAATTGCATCAGTGTTGATGGCTTTGATAACACTGGGCAACAAAAAAAATATTTTTTTTTGTATCCTTAACTTTTTTAGTCAAATTATACTAATTTTGGGGTAAGAAAAACGCAAATGCAAACGAAAATTTTTTATTAGCTCTAATTTCTGAGATATACAACAACAAAAAAATTTTTGGTTTTGCTTATTCACAACATAGCAATATGACATATAATTTACTTATTTTAATAATATTTAAAGTGCATTTAGTTTTTTTAATAAAGATTACATTCTAACAGTTTTAAACAATGAAAAATAATAAATATAAGGAATATTATGGAATAATTTCGCGCGATTGTGCCATTTTTGCTTTCCGCCTGTATGCGAGCTCTGGAGCATCCCTACATATAAACCAACATTAATCTGCAAGCATAGCTTCATTCCAACGAACCTCATATCTTTTTTCCATTACAGAAATATCTTGGTGGGACCTTTCTCTATGTTCATCACTAACAGCTCCACAAAGTGGAAAGAAGTCTAAATGTGAGTTGAGGAAGTGAATCTTCAAGGACATGTTACGTCTTAGTTGATGGCATTTTTGCAGAAGTACTGTTAACAATTGGATGTAGTTATCATCTCTTCTGTGGCCTAAAAATCCACAAATCACTCCCTTGAGAGATTCCCAAGTTTCTTTTTCTTGCCCTTTCAAAACTTCATCAAATGCAGGATCTTTCACAAGTTCATGTATCTATGGTCCAACAAAAATACCCTCTTTTACTTTTGCATCACTTAGTTTTGGAAATTTGTTTCTTAAATACTTAAAAGCCTGTCCATCTTTGTTCCTTTGACAAAATTTTTCATTAAACCCAGCTTAATGTGTAAGGATGGAAGAAGTACATCTTTCAGCAACAAAATTTTTGTCACCTTTGTTGAGATTTCTTGCAGGCCAGTCCTTTTGTGTT